TTTTTTTTTTAATTAAAGTAATTTTAATGGTTTAAAACATTAACAGTTTGTTGCTTTAAAACAAAAGCAAGTAAAAGTGTAAATTTTATATGAAAATCTTTCTTAAGTTTTTTAAAAACTGTCAGGTTTTCATACAAAATTGTTCAACTAACATTTGTTTTGTTTCAAAAGTTACTAACTGAACAATTTTTTTAACCATTTTATTATTATTATTTTTTTAATTATATTTTTTAGTTAGGTTAACTACATTTAAATATATTGCAAGCTATTAAAATTAAAATAAAATTCTTAATTTTTTTTGTACACGATTTTGTTTAGTTTTTGTTTTTAATTATATATAGAAAATATATTTCATTTTAAGTGTTTTCTTTTTTAAAAATTATAAGAAAAAAGTTAAGAATAAGAAAAAATTAACAAATGTTATATATAAAAATAAACAAACTTAACATTTGTTGGGAAAAAAAGGAAAAAAAAAACTATTAATAATTTATTTTTATAATAATTCCATTTGTTTAAAAAATACCTAATTAATGGAACATTTGGAAAATAATTTAAAAAAAAACGACATTTAAACAACACTCAGCCTAAAACATCATTATCATCAACATACAAACAATTTAAAAAAATTTCTTACACTTAAAGCTAAATATTAATATTATATTATAAAAAAAATAACTTTGTATTAAAACCCAAAAAAGAGTGATATTTGTTTTTAATATCTTAATAATTTCACTTAATTATACAATAAAATTGTATAATTTTCAACTTTAAAAATATGTACCCGAAATGAAATTATTAAAAATTGTGTTTTTTGTATAAATTTCAAACTCTTTTTTGGTTGCTTTCGTACACAGAAAATAATACAAATGTTGCGCTATGTAAAATGTTTAAACATTTTTAGTAAATAAAATGTTTTAATAATGTTTAAATAATAATAAAAAAATAAAGAAAGAAAGTATTTTTTTAAATTAACTTAAAACCTTTTGTAATATAAAGAAAACTATTGAATTTTATAGTCAGCTTTTAAATTTATAACAATATTAAAAAAAAAAAGAAATTTTAAAGGAAATTTTTGTATCGATTCGCTATTTATGAAGAATTTTCGAATTGAATATCTATTTGAAGAGAATTTTTAAATCGATTCCCTATTTATAAAGAGTTTTCGAATAGTTTCTATATATATAGAGAATTTCCGAATCGATTAACTATTTATAAAGAATTTGTGAATCGATTCGTCATTTATAAAGAATTTTCGAATCTAATCTCTATTTATAGAGAATTTTTGAATCGATTCGTTACTTATGAAAAAGTTTCGATTCGATTCTCTATTTATAGAGTTTTTTCGAATCGATTCGCTATTTAAAGTGAATTTTTGAATCGATTTGCTATTTATAGAGAATTTTCGATTCGATTCGCTGTTTATGAAAAATTTTCGAATCGATTCGCTATTTATGGTCAATTTTTAAATTATATTCTATTTATAAATAATTTTCAATTAAATTTATCTATTTTTTGGGGAATTTTTGAATCGATTCGTTATTTTTGAAAAAGTTTCGATTCGATTCTCTATTTAAAGAGAATTTTTAAATCGATTCGCTATTTATGAAGAATTTTCGATTCGATTCGCTATTTATGAAGAATTTTCGAATCGATTCACTAATTATGGAGAATTTTTAAATTATATACTATTTATAAATAATTTTCAATTAAATGTCTCTATTTTTTGGGGGAATTTTTGAATCGATTCTCTATATATAAAGAATTTTCGAATCGATTCTCAATTCATAATGAAATTTCTTCCCTACTTTTAGAGAATTTTTAAATAAATTCTGTATTTATAAAAAAACTTTTGAATCGATTCTCTAGATAATTTTCCTATCGATTCTTTATTTATAGAGAATTTTTTAATCAATTCTCTATTTATAAAGAATTTACAATGAAATTTCTCTATTTATAGATTCTCTATTTATGGAAATTTTTTTATAAATAACTATTAAAATGATTCTCTATTTATAGAGATTTTTTGAGTAGATCCCCTATTTAAAGAGAATTTTCGAATAAATTCTTTATTTATAGAGAATTTTTGAAATAATTTCCTATTTGTAAAGAATTTTCGATTAAATTCTTTATTTATAAAGTACTTTTCAATCGATTCTTAATTTATATAGAATTTTTGTAGATTTATAAAGAATTTTTGAAGCAATTCTCAATTTATAGGGAAAACGGTAGTGCAGGTTTCTATTTCTACTCTTAAAGAGAATTTTTGAATCAATTCTCTATTCATAGGGAATTTTCGAATCTATTCACTTTATTGTGGAGAATTTTTAAATCGATTAATCAATTAAATCGAATTTTAATCGATTAATCGATTTATACAGAATTTTTGAATAAATTTTCTATTTATAATGATCTCTTGATTCGATTCGCTTCTATTTATAGAGAATTTTCGATTCACTTCTCTATTTATAAACAATTTTTGAATCGATTCTCTATTTATAAAGATTCTTTTATCTATTTGTAGAATTTTCGTATAGTTTATCTATTTATAATAAATTTTCAATAAAATTTTTTTATTTATAGAGAATTTTTAAATCGATTCTGTATTTATAAAGAATTTTCGAATCGATTCTCTATTTTTCCGAATCGATTCTCTATTCATGAAGAGTTCTTGAATCGATTCTCTATATATAAAAAAGTTTTTTCTAAATTTGTAGAGAATTTTTTAATAGATTGTACATTTATAAAGAACCTTTAATTCAAATCTCTAGTTACGAATAGATTCTCCATTTATAGAAGATTTTTTAATAGATTCTCTATTTAAATCGTTCGTTTAACGCTCATTCAAAAAATGGTGTATCTATCACGTGTTAAAAAGAATTTTCGAATCACCTCTCTATTTAAAAAGAATTTTTGAATCAATTCCCTATTTATAGTGAATTTTTCAATAAATTCTATATCTATAAAGAACTTTTAATTTGAATCTCTATTTATAAAGAAACTTTCGAATAGATTCTCTATTTTTAAAGAATTTTCGAATCGATTCTACATTTATAGAGAGTTTTTGAATTGATTCTCTATTTATAGAGAGTTTTTGAATAAATTCTGTATTCATAAAGAACTTCTAATTTGAATCTAAATTTTTTAATAGATTCTCTATTTATAAACAATTTTCCGAATAGATAGAGTTTTTGAATTGATTCTCTATTTATAGAGAGTTTTTGAATAAATTCTGTATTCATAAAGAACTTCTAATTTGAATCTAAATTTTTTAATAGATTCTCTATTTATAAACAATTTTCCGAATAGATTCTCCTCCATTTATAGAAAATTTTACAACATATTCTCTTTTATAAAGAAGTTTTGAATTGGTTCTCTATTTATAGAAAGGTTTTAAAAAAATTCTCCATTTGTAAAGAATTTTCGAATCGATTCTCCATTTCTACAACATTTTTAATTCGAATCTCTATTTAAAATGAACTTTTGAATCGATTCTTTATTTAAGAAAATTTTCGAAACGATTCTCTCTTTAGATAGTTTTTTAATAGATTTTCTATTTATAAAGAACTTAAAGAATTTTGGAAATTCCTATTTATACAAAAATTTCGGATCGATTGGTTAGTAGAGAATTTTAAAATCAAAAATTTTCAATTAAATTCCTTAGTGGCTGAAAATCTCTAGATTTCTTATTTATAGAAAATATTTGAATTTATTCTATATTTGTTAAAAAAATTCGAATCGTTTTCTTTTTATTTGAAAATTTTCTCTAGAAAATATCTTTATTTTTAAGAATTTTCAAATCCAATTTTTATTTATAGCAAATTTTTCGAATAAACTTTCTATTTATTAAGAAATTTCGCAATGATTTTTTTATTTATGGAGAATTTTCGAAGAGATTCTGTAGATAGAAAAGTTTTAATAGAAATTTTTTCTCAATTTTTTTGGGACATTTTCAAATTGATTCCATAAATCATATATTTTTTGCAAAGTTTACTATAGTATTTGATTCATCTGTCTAGCAATAAGATATTTTACAAGATTATTTTTTTCATAACTACCATTATGAATCTTAGTTTTAGCTTTCAACTGTCTACATTTACAAGACTTGCAAGAGTAGTTTACTATGAAAATATTGTTGGTAGTCGGTTAATAAGTAGTTTAACATTTGTACTTGTTACATCAGCAAGATTTGCAAAAGTATTTGTTCAGATATTCTACATTTTGCAAGACCTAGTTTTACTATTTTTATAAAATAGAACTTGTACTTGGATTGGATTGGTGACCAAAAAAGATTGAAAGATATTAAAGAATATAACGTTTTTAACTAAGAATTTGGAAAGTAGTATATCATCTTATCACATTAAAAGCTGACTAAAAAATTCAATTTTCTAAATGGAAATTTAATGAAAAAAGTGCTACTTAATACAAATTCTAATTAAATAAAATAGTAAAGTGTTTATAATATAAATTTTATATAAATAATTTTAAGAGTGTACTTACTATCTTAAGCCTAGATAAAACGAATACAAATTCAAAACGTTAATATTTGTTTGAAACAACAATAAATTTCTGGTCTGATCAATTGAAATCTATACAAATCTATATTTGAATAATTTGTTCACAGTTTATTAGTAAAAATCACTCTGTGTAGTAAATTTGCAAGAGTTTTTAGTTTCAGTTGTCTGTTTTAAAGACTTTTGCTTTTTTTAATACAGTCTTGCAAATAGTAGATAATTTGCAAGACCTTTGTATATAAAATGAAAATGTTTCTATATGAAGTCTACAAGACATATTTGCAATTGCTCGAGTTCTACTAAGAAAATATTTCAATACCAAGTTTACAAGCCTCATTGCAATATGACTTAATAATTAAGTTACTCTTGTAAATTGCAATTAATTTGCTAAAATTTCGCTTATAAGTAGATTTTTACTTAAGAAAAGTTTATGTTTTAAGTTTACAATACCTATTTGCAATTATTTTTATTTTGTTCAGCAAATTCCCGTTTGTAAACGGAAGGAAAGACAACATTTCTGTAACCAGTTTACAAGACTTATTTGCCATAGTTTATTTAGCAAAATGCTGTTAATTTGTTAGTATGTCGCAAGTTTACAAGACTAATTTGCAATAGGTTTCATTACTTTTCTTTTTATTTTGTAAATGAAAGATAGATAATTTGCTGATACACCTTATGATAGTAGTTTTTTTTTACAAAAGAAAACGTTTGTGTATTAAATTTACAAGACTTCCTTAAGAATTTTTAATTAAGCCTTGCAAATAGCCAATAATTTACTAGAACTCATTATGCAATAAGAATTTTACTTAAAAAAACGTTTCTGTATCAAGTTAACAAGAATTTTTTGGTGATTAAGTCTTGCAAATGGCGATTAATTTAATAGAACACCAATAAGAATTTTACTTAAAAACCGTTTCTGTATTAAGTTTACAAGACTTTTTTTGGTGATTAAGTCTTGCAAATGGCGGTTAATTTACTAGAACATCTAATATAATAAAGTTTTTACTCAAGATCAAGTTATTCCAAGTTTGCAAGACTTATTTACAATGATTTTTTTTAGTATTTTTGCTTTTGTTTTGCAAAAGTGCTAGTAATTTGCAACAACTCTTCATATATGAAGATTTTTTTCTGATTAAAACGCTTCTCTTTTAAGTTTACTAGACCTATTTGCAATGATTTTTATTACTTTTTATTTAGTCTTGTAAATCACGAAGCGAATCTGTCTTTAAAAAAGTTTTTACTTTAAGATAACTTTTCTATAACATGTTTACAACGCTTATTAGCAATGAGTAAAAGTATTGCAAAGTACTTATACTTATTAACATGTTTAATATTTACAAGACCTGTTTAGTTTGCAAATCATTTTGTAAATGATACGACAATTTACTGATACTCCTTATGATAGTAGTTTTTTTTACAAAAGAAAACGTTGCTGTATTAAATTTACAAGACTTCCTTAAGAATTTTTAATTAAGCCTTGCTAATTTACTAGAACTCTTTATACAATAAGAATTTTACTTAAAAAACCGTTTGTGCATCAAATTTAAAAGACTTGTTTGGTGATTTAGTCTTGCAAATGGTGGTTAATTTACTATAACACCTAATAAAGTAAAGTTATTACTCAAGATCAAGTTGTTTCAAGTTTGCAAGACTTATTTGCAATAGTTTTTAGCATTTTTCATTTTGTATTGTAAATTTACAACAACCCTTCAACGACGCTACTCTTTTAAGTTTACTAAACTTATTTGCAATGATTTTTATTAATTTTTATTTAGTCTTGTAAATTGGTAAATTTTACTTAAGCTAACTCTTCTATAACAAGTTTACAATGCTTATTAGCAATAAGTAAAAGTATTGCAAAGTACTTATACTTATTAAGATGTTTAATATTTACAAGACCTGTTTAGTTTGCATATTTAACTCAAGAATATAAGTATATCACAGTATTGTATATTTTTTTACTATAATTATTAAGTTTTGCAAGGTTTACAAGCTCTGAATTACACTTTTTAATATATTCTTTCTATGAGCTTGCAAACTATAGTAAATTTAAAAGGCTTAATAGTTTTTAATAAGCAAATAAATATCAATATTGAAAAAAATATCAAAAGACAAAGAAAGAGTAAATCACAGATTGTAATTGTTAGATTTAAAAGATCTACAAGGGTGAATTCCCTTATTTACTGCTTATTTTGTAAACTAAAGATTTGCAACCTTTCTAAGCGAGCATTCCATTAATATTTTCCTTTTGTTTAACAAACTACAGCTACAAGTCTAGCTTTAGAAAATAAATTTTGAAATAGGTACTATATATTAAATTTACTACACAAATATTAACGCTTTGAATTGAAAACTTTTTTCCAGCCTTTTTTTTGTTAAAACTCTTTTAACTTCAACAAAAGACTTGAAAAACTTAATAAGAACTTAAATCAATAATTTTTTGTTACTCATGTTACTAAACAATAACTTAAATAAAGTTTTTCATACTTAAATCTTCTCAATTTGTTAATGTTTCAAATGTTTGAATATTTAATTTTTTTTTTTTTTTTGATAAATTTCTTAAGTGATTAATTAAATTAATCACACCACCCTAATTGTTTGTTTTATTAATACTAACTAAAACTATAAGTAAATAAATTTGTTTTTCTTCTTAATGAATTTAACTAAATATAAATTTTTGTTTTTCTTTTAAAGTCTCTTTAACTTAGACTTAAACTAGAATTATCTTCTTTTTTTTTTTTTTGTTTTTCATTATAATAATATTTTGGCTATATGCAAATATTTAGCTTTATATGTATAAATAATAAAAAAAAGTTTTTAGTTGAACATAAATACAAATCTTTTTAACATAAACATTTGTTAAGTTTACAGGCTATTACTTAACACATCATTTACGTCCAATTTCTTAAAGCCTGTTAGCAATTATTAAGTGTTTGTTTGCAGTTAGTTAAACCAACCATCATCATCATCATTATCATGCAAAATCACTTTTTATTTCTAGTGATTTTTTTCTCTTATGATTATTTACTATTTTTTTTTTTTCGTTAAGCTTTACACACCTCCAGTCTTGGAGTCCTTTTTATATCACTTTGTTGGTTTATCGTGTGTGTGTTCTCTTATCTTTTCCATTTTGTTGTTTTATTAAACCTTCGTTGTGCTTTTCATTTCGTTAGAATTTTTGTTTTTGGCGTATTGTTGTCAACTTTTTTTCTTGTGTTTATTTTCCTGATGATGATTGTGTATTACCTGATGTATTATTATTGCCTGTTGATGAGTTATTCTGATTGTTATTGCTTTGCTGTGGTATGGTATCACAGCGTCTATAGCAAAGTAAATAAGGTACTCGTGGTGTCCGTGGTAAGAGGACATGATTTTCACTTACCGGTTTGACAGAGCTGTCATCGAAACGCAGCCAACTGCCATAGCCGGTGTGATAAACATCAGTGATATAATGTCCTTTGGTGGCCTCTTTGCCATCATGATAGACAACGGCAAAGAGACGATAAGCTCGTTGTTTTTGTGAGTACTTCTTGGAAGCTAAAATTTCTGTGAGAATGAGAAAATAAAGATTTGGGTTTGAATAAGCAAAGAAACAATAAGAAAGTTTAAAAACTGGAAAGTTTGGAGTTTAGACTACAGACTAGACTAATCTATGAGCTAGACTACAGAATAGATTATAAACTGTATAATATATCAGACAATAGACTAGACTGTAGACTAAACTATAAGCTGGACTATAAACTAGATTATTGAATGGCCTATAGACGAGGCAATAGACTAGAATAGAGATAAGATTATAAACTAAATTACAGAATAGACTTAACTATAGACTAGAGAATAGACTAGACTTTAAACTAAAGACTAGACAATAGACTAGACCATAGACTAGACTTTAGACTAAACTATAGACTTGACTATAGACTACACTATAGACGAGACTAAAGACTAGATTAGACTATAGACTAGACTATAGACTAGACTATAGACTAGACTATAGACTAGACTATAGACTAGACTATAGACTAGACTATAGACTAGACTATAGACTAGACTATAGACTAGACTATAGACTAGACTATAGACTAGACTATAGACTAGACTATAGACTAGACTATAGACTAGACTATAGACTAGACTATAGACTAGACTATAGACTAGACTATAGACTAGACTATAGACTAGACTATAGACTAGACTATAGACTAGACTATAGACTAGACTATAGACTAGACTATAGACTAGACTATAGACTAGACTATAGACTAGACTATAGACTAGACTATAGACTAGACTATAGACTAGACTATAGACTAGACTATAGACTAGACTATAGACTAGACTATAGACTAGACTATAGACTAGACTATAGACTAGACTATAGACTAGACTATAGACTAGACTATAGACTAGACTATAGACTAGACTATAGACTAGACTATAGACTAGACTATAGACTAGACTATAGACTAGACTATAGACTAGACTATAGACTAGACTATAGACTAGACTATAGACTAGACTATAGACTAGACTATAGACTAGACTATAGACTAGACTATAGACTAGACTATAGACTAGACTATAGACTAGACTATAGACTAGACTATAGACTAGACTATAGACTAGACTATAGACTAGACTATAGACTAGACTATAGACTAGACTATAGACTAGACTATAGACTAGACTATAGACTAGACCTATAGACTAGACTATAGACTAGACTAATAGACTATAGACTAGACTAGACTATAGACTAGACTATAGACTAGACTATAGACTAGACTATAGACTAGACTATGAGACTAGACTATAGACTAGACTATAGACTAGACTATAGACTAGACTATAGACTAGACTATAGACTAGACTATAGACTAGACTATAGACTAGACTATAGACTAGACTATAGACTAGACTATAGACTAGACTATAGACTAGTCTATAGTCTAGTCTATAGTCTAGTCTAGTCTAGACTATAGACCAGACTATAGACTAGACTATAGACTAGACTATAGACTAGACTATAGACTAGACTATAGACTAGACTATAGACTAGACTATAGACTAGACTATAGACTAGACTATAGACTAGACTATAGACTAGACTATAGACTAGACTATAGACTAGACTATAGACTAGACTATAGACTAGACTATAGACTAGACTATAGACTAGACTATAGACTAGACTATAGACTAGACTATAGACTAGACTATAGACTAGACTATAGACTAGACTATAGACTATAGACTAGACTATAGACTAGACTATAGACTAGACTATAGACTAGACTATAGACTAGACTATAGACTAGACTATAGACTAGACTATAGACTGGATTACAGAAAATATCTAACATAAATATAAGTTTCTAACAACCACTTACTTGAATCAATTTTAAGTTCCACTGGGAACTCAACCTTTTTCAAAATCTTCGTGCAACCATCTGAACGATAGTCGAACCATTTAAGGTGTAAAATTAAAATAGGAGGCAATTTTTCCAAATTCATTTGTTGCCAGGCCACCACTTCCTGTTTGCTCTTACTGCCGGTAACACCTTCCAATTGATCACGACCAACTAAGATCTCCAAAGCCTCCTTAACCGAGGCAGCTTTCTATAAAAAATAAACACAAAAAATAATATTTAGAAAAAAAGTTTTCATTTATAAAATAAAAACAACTAAAAACGAAAAATACTTCAATATTCAGTTGCAGTGTAAAGAAAGGCTGTATAACATCTGTTGAATGTTCTCCCTCACGCTGTAAACGTGAACGTAATTCTCCACGGAAGATATCACTTAAGGGGGTGCAACCAAAATCAGTTTGACGTGTTACACTGCCCTTATTGCGATTATTGCAAATCATCTGGAAAATTTAATTAAACAAATAAATAATTAAATAAAATAAAATAAATTAATTGTTTTTCATTCCAACTAATCACCTGCCAAACGTCACCATCCTCTTCGGCCGGTTCATTTTGTCCATTTTGTTCGGTATTTGGTTTGGAAATTAATTTTATAACCTTAAAACAAATAAATATTATTATTGGTTAATAAATCAAGATTTAATATATTAGCTCATACCTCCAGCATTTCATCATTTAATTTATTAAGTATATAACTCAAAAATTCTTCGGCATCTTCTTGACGGCCCTCCACATGTTCCTCACGACTATCATTCCATAATTTATAGATTTCTGTGGGTTCAAAGGCAGGATCACACTGTAAATCTCCACCCAAATCATCTTTGTTGCCTTTACCACCCTTGGAATTACGTAAACGTAAACCACTGGGTAGATTAGAGAAATTGGACATGAAAGTCATCCTGTAAGAGCGAGAAAAAAGTACATTTTCATTATTCGTAAGAAACAAAACATTCCTTAAATAGTGAAAATCTGTGATCACTCATATTTCCCACCAAAAATCGATTTTTATATGAAATATCTAAAATCGGCTCTAGTTTCTTAAATAACGCTCCAATCCAGATAATAGTGAAAATCTGTGATGACTCATATTTCCCACTAAAAATCGATTTTTATATGAAAAACCTAAAATCGGCTCTAGTTGCTTAAATAACGCTCCAATTGAGAAAATAGTGAAAATCTGTGATCACTCATATCTCCCACTAAAAATCGATTTTTATATGAGAAACCTAAAATCGTCTCTAGTTCCTTAAATAACACTCCAATCGAGAAAATAGTGAAAATCTGTGATCACTCTATCTAAAATCGGCTCTAGTTTCTTAAATAACGCCCCAATCGAAAAAATCTGTGATCACTCATATTTCCCACTAAAAATCGATTTTTATATGAAATATCTAAAATCGGCTTTAGTTTCTTAAATAACGCTCCAATTGAGAAAATAGTGATAATCTGTGATCATTCATATTTCCCACCAAAAATCGATTTTTATATGAAATATCTAAAATCGACTCTAGTTCCTTAAATAACGCTCCACTCGAGAAAATAGTGAAAATCTGTGATCACTCATATTTCCTACTGAATTAGATTTTTATATGAAATATCTAAAATCGGCTCTAGTTTCTTAAATAACGCTCCAATTGAGCAAATAGTGAAAATCTGTGATCACTCATATTTCCCACTAAAAATCGATTTTTATATGAAATATCTAAAATCGGCTCTAGTTTCTTAAATAACGATCCAATTGAGAAAATAGTGAAAATCTGTGATCACTCATATTTCCCACTAAAAATCGATTTTTATATGAAATATCTAAAATCGGCTCTAGTTTCTTAAATAATGCTCCAATTGAGCAAATAGTGAAAATCTGTGATCACTCATATTTCCCACCAAAAATCGATTTTTATATGAAATATCTAAAATCGGCTCTAGTTTCTTAAATATCGCTTCAATTGAGAAAATAGTGAAAATCTGTGATCCCTCATATTTCCCACTAAAAATCGATTTTTATATGAAATATCTAAAATCGGCTGTAGTTTCTTAAATAACGCTCCAATCGAGAAAATAGTAAAAATCTGTGATCACTCATATTTCCCACTAAAAATTGATTTTTATATGAAATATCTAAAATCGGCTGTAGTTTCTTAATTAACGCTCCAATCGAGAAAATAGTGAAAATCTGTGATCCCTCATATTTCCCACTAAAATATATATTATATGAAATATCTAAAATCGGCTGTAGTTTCTTAATTAACGCTCCAATCGAGAAAATAGTGAAAATCTGTGATCACTCATATTTCCCACTAAAAATCGATTTTTATATGAAAAACCTAAAATCGGCTCTAGTTTCTTAAATATCGCTCCAATCGAGAAAATGGTGAAAATCTGTGATCACTCATATTTCCCACTAAAAATCGATTTTTATATGAAATATCTAAAATCGGCTCTAGTTTCTTAAATAACGCTCCAATTGAGAAAATAGTGAAAATCTGTGATCTCTCCTATTTCCCACTAAAAATCGATTTTTATATGAAATATCTTAAATCGACTCTAGTTTCTTAAATAACGCCCCAATTAAGAAAATAGTGAAAATCTGTGATCACTCATATATCCCACCAAAAATCGATTTTTATATGAAATATATCTTAAATCGGCTCTAGTTTCTTAAATAACGCTCCAATCGAGAAAATAGTAAAAATCTGTGATCACTCATATTTCCCACTAAAAATTGATTTTTATATGAAATATCTAAAATCGGCTGTAGTTTCTTAATTAACGCTCCAATCGAGAAAATAGTGAAAATCTGTGATCACTCATATTTCCCACTAAAAAATCGATTTTTATATGAAAAACCTAAAATCGGCTCTAGTTTCTTAAATATCGCTCCAATCGAGAAAATGGTGAAAATCTGTGATCACTCATATTTCCCACTAAAAATCGATTTTTATATGAAATATCTAAAATCGGCTGTAGTTTCTTAATTAACGCTCCAATCGAGAAAATAGTGAAAATCTGTGATCCCTCATATTTCCCACTAAAATATATATTATATGAAATATCTAAAATCGGCTGTAGTTTCTTAATTAACGCTCCAATCGAGAAAATAGTGAAAATCTGTGATCACTCATATTTCCCACTAAAAATCGATTTTTATATGAAAAACCTAAAATCGGCTCTAGTTTCTTAAACAACGCTCCAATCGAGAAAATAGTGAAAATCTGTGATCCCTCATATTTCCCACCAGAAATCGATTTTTATATGAAATATCTAAAATCGGCTCTACTTTCTTAAATAACGCTCCAATCGAGAAAATAGTGAAAATCTGTGATCACTCATATTTCCCACTAAAAATCGATTTTTATATGAAATATCTAAAATCGGCTCTACTTTCTTAAATAACGCTCCAATCGAGAAAATAGTGAAAATCTGTGATCACTCATATTTCCCACTAAAAATCGATTTTTATATGAAATATCTAAAATCGGCTCTAGTTTCTTAAATAACGCTCCAATCGAGAAAATAGTGAAAATCTGTGATCCCTCATATTTCCCACTAAAAATCGATTTTTATATGAAATATCTAAAATCGGCTGTAGTTTCTTAATTAACGCTCCAGTCGAGAAAATAGTGAAAATCTGTGATCACTCATATTTCCCACTAAATATTGATTTTTATATGAAATATCTAAAATCGGCTGTAGTTTCTTAATTAACGCTCCAATCGAGAAAATAGTGAAAATCTGTGATCACTCATATTTCCCACTAAAAATCGATTTTTATATGAAAAACCTAAAATCGGCTCTAGTTTCTTAAATATCGCTCCAATCGAGAAAATGGTGAAAATCTGTGATCACTCATATTTCCCACTAAAAATCGATTTTTATATGAAATATCTAAAATCGGCTGTAGTTTCTTAAATAACGCTCCAATTGAGAAAATAGTGAAAATCTGTGATCTCTCCTATTTCCAACTAAAAATCGATTTTTATATGAAATATCTTAAATCGACTCTAGTTTCTTAAATAACGCTCCAATTAAGAAAATAGTGAAAATCTGTGATCACTCATATATCCCACCAAAAATCGATTTTTATATGAAATATATCTTAAATCGGCTCTAGTTTCTTAAATAACGCTCCAATCGAGAAAATAGTAAAAATCTGTGATCACTCATATTTCCCACTAAAAATTGATTTTTATATGAAATATCTAAAATCGGCTGTAGTTTCTTAATTAACGCTCCAATCGAGAAAATAGTGAAAATCTGTATTCACTCATATTTCCCACTAAAAATCGATTTTTATATGAAATATCTAAAATCGGCTCTAGTTTCTTAAACAACGCTCCAATCGAGAAAATAGTGAAAATCTGTGATCCCTCATATTTCCCACCAGAAATCGATTTTTATATGAAATATCTTAAATCGGCTCTAGTTTCTTAAATAACGCTCCAATCGAGAAAATAGTGAAAATCTGTGATCCCTCATATTTCCCACTAAAAATCGATTTTTATATGAAATATCTAAAATCGGCTGTAGTTTCTTAATTAACGCTCCAGTCGAGAAAATAGTGAAAATCTGTGATCACTCATATTTCCCACTAAATATTGATTTTTATATGAAATATCTAAAATCGGCTGTAGTTTCTTAATTAACGCTCCAATCGAGAAAATAGTGAAAATCTGTGATCACTCATATTTCCCACTAAAAATCGATTTTTATATGAAAAACCTAAAATCGGCTCTAGTTTCTTAAATATCGCTCCAATCGAGAAAATGGTGAAAATCTGTGATCACTCATATTTCCCACTAAAAATCGATTTTTATATGAAATATCTAAAATCGGCTCTAGTTTCTTAAATAACGCTCCAATTGAGAAAATAGTGAAAATCTGTGATCTCTCCTATTTCCAACTAAAAATCGATTTTTATATGAAATATCTTAAATCGACTCTAGTTTCTTAAATAACGCTCCAATTAAGAAAATAGTGAAAATCTGTGATCACTCATATATCCCACCAAAAATCGATTTTTATATGAAATATATCTTAAATCGGCTCTAGTTTCTTAAATAACGCTCCAATCGAGAAAATAGTAAAAATCTGTGATCACTCATATTTCCCACTAAAAATTGATTTTTATATGAAATATCTAAAATCGGCTGTAGTTTCTTAATTAACGCTCCAATCGAGAAAATAGTGAAAATCTGTATTCACTCATATTTCCCACTAAAAATCGATTTTATATGAAATATCTAAAATCGGCTCTAGTTTCTTAAACAACGCTCCAATCGAGAAAATAGTGAAAATCTGTGATCCCTCATATTTCCCACCAGAAATCGATTTTTATATGAAATATCTTAAATCGGCTATAGTTTCTTAAATAACGCTCCAATCGAGAAAATAGTGAAAATCTGTGATCACTCATATTTCCCACTAAAAATCGATTTTTGTATGAAATATCTTAAATCGGCTCTAGTTTCTTAAATAACGCTCCAATTAAGAAAATAGTGAAAATCTGTGATCACTCATATTTCCCACTAAAAATCGATTTTTATATGAATTATCTAAATCGGCTCTAGTTTCTTAAATATCGCTCCAATCGAGAAAATAGTGAAAATCTGTGATCACTCATATTTCCCACTAAAAATCGATTTTTATATGAAATATCTAAAATCGGCTGTAGTTTCTTAAATAACGCTCCAATTGAGAAAATAGTGAAAATCTGTGATCACTCATATTTCCCACTAAAAATCGATGTTTATATGAAAAACCTAAAATCGGCCCTAGTCCTTAAATAACGCTCCAATTGAGAAAATAGTGATAATCTGTGATCACTCATATTTCCCACCAGAAATCGATTTTTATATGAAATATCTAAAATCGGCTCTAGTTTCTTAAATAACGCCCCAATTGAGAAAATAGTGAAAATCTGCGATCACTCATATTTCCCACTAAAAATCGATTTTTATATGAAATATCTTAAATCGGCTCTAGTTTCTTAAATAACGCTCCAATTAAGAAAATAGTGTACATCTGTGATCACTCATATTTCCCACCAAGAATCGATTTTGAAGAAAATATTGAAATCTGATGAAAACCCTAGTTTATGGAAGAAGTATGAAATACTTGTCTGTTCTCCAACCATTACCTGATCTTTGATCTACAGATCACATGTCATTTTGAAGGAAAACTTAAGAAATATTTCTCATCTGCAATAAAACCGCCACCAAAACGGTTTTATTTTAAAGTTTTGTGAAATATTTATATATAGTTTGATCTACCACAAAGGTAACGCAAAATGTAGCATTATATAACTAACAATTTGCTGACTTAATTGTGGATGAAAAGTTTGGACTTAAACCTTATAGCTTACTACTTACATGGCATTAACTGTAGGAGTCTTAACCTCACACAAATTGGCAGCTTGTTTTGGTATAGAACGTATTAAATTATATAAAGGCGAACAGCCGAGTAGAGCTTGTAATATGGAGTTGATATAACAATAGTTGGAACGATTTGTTAGACCTCTAGGTCTTAGACTAACGGTGGCCCAGTCACTTTTATATGTTGTTAAAAATTGAGCAAATTTCAAAGAGAATTCATCTAGATTGGCCAATGAGTTGCGTTGCGATTGTTGTTGTTGTTGCTCGAGTTTTTTGGCAGTTGTGGAAGCTGTGCTAGCCGAAGAGGGTGTGGGTAGATTTTGAGCTGAGGCTGCTGAATAAGATAAAGTACCCGGGGTTACTACGGGTGGTGGAGGTGTAACAGGAGTTATGCCCTCATAGGGAGCCACTTTGGCAATGGGTTTCTTTGAATAGTTGGTATTCGAGGAAGAAGAGTTGGAGCTTGTGTTTATTGTTGCAGAGGCAGCTGTATTTGAACTGGCTGAATTGCTGGTATTTGAACTACTGGCAAAGAGACTAGCCCAAGATGGTGTAGAGGGTGCTGCTGGTGTGTTGGCAGAAACTGGTGGTGCCAAATTTATGGCTGGTGTAGAGGAGGTTTCCACGGCATTACTGCTGCTGCTGCTGGTAACCGCTGCTGCAGTAGTATTTGGGGTAGTGCTTGGACCACTGTGTCCTTGATTTGAAAAACTATGTTTTTTAGTAGCAAATCCTGGTGGATAATGTTGGGTATGCTGCTTGTTAGAAATCGAGGTGGCAGCAGCTGAGCTAGCACTAACTGTCGGGGCAGTTGGTGTGGTCTGTTGTACAGCATCATTATTGGTTGTGGTTTGTTGTGATTGTTGCTGTTGAAATTGATGGGGCGCTGCAGTGGTGGAGGCAGTCGATGTAGATTGAGGGCCTTGACCCTTGCCAGCATCACTTGATTGACTGGTTTTACGTTCCATGGTGCTGGGTGCACTGGAAATGGGTGAAGAAGGCATTTTCATGGCTCCATAATTTCTAGTTTGTGGTTGCTGATAGTGATAATTTTGTTGTTGCTGCTGTTGATAATTATGATGTTGTTGATTGGTGTAAGTGCGTGTGGAGTGAGTATGTGAGCTGGACGTATTGCTGGCATTTGATTGTTTATTGTAACTACCGCTCGAGTGGCTGGAAGTGGGTGTTGCTGTTACCGCCACTGTATTGGTGGATTTCTTATGTTGTGAGGAATTTGTCCATGACATAGTTTTGGTTGTCTGCTGTTGCTGTGTTTGCTGTTGCTGATGATGGGAAGAAGCATCACTATTACTGCTGTTGGAGCCATGACCATGATGATAATCATATTTACGACTACGTGATTGATGTTGTTGATTGTACATTTGTGAAGATTTACGATTTTCATAGGTTTGTTGTTGCTGATGATGCTGCTGTTGTTGTTGTTGGGTATGGTGATGCTGATGTTGTTGTTGTTGTGTTGAAGCTTGATAATGTGTTTGTTGCTGTTGAGGTTGGGCTGTTGGTTGTTGCTGTTGCTGTGCTGTCACAGGCTGAGTTTGCAATTGTTGATGTTGATATTGCTGCTGTTGTTGAGGAACATTTTGTTTGGCAACATATTGATGTTTATGTTGTTTTTCCTGCACAGTTTGTTGTTGTTGCTGCTGATACACAGGCTGTGGTGTTATTATTTGTTGTTGCTGCTGAGGGGCTACCACATTTGTTGCTACCCACCGTTTCTACAGCCACTTCGGTACTTTTGTTGGCAACTGTTGTATGCACAATCTTTTCTACTGGCAATTCTTGCACATCAGTCATTAATGTTTTATTCGTATTGTTGAAATTATCCGTTTGTATTGCTTCCACTACAACATTTTGTGTCTGTATTTGCTGCTGTTGTGGCAATTGTTGATATTCGATGGCTATATTGTCAGCAGCAGGTTGTTGTACAATCTCTTCATTGAGACTGGTAACTGATTCGCCTGCTTGTATGTTTGAAACATTTTCATAGGTTTGCACATTGCTATCGACGATAGTATTATCTGTAAGTAAATAAGGGAGAAATTAATTTCACAATTAATTGAAATTTCCAAAAAAATATATATACATTTATTTATATAGAGAATTTTTTGCAAACAAATTTGAATTTGTTTAAGAATAGTCGAAAATTTCGACTATAAACTAGTCGATAATTACGACCTTAAACTAGTCGATAATTTCGACTATAAACTAGTCGTTATTTTCGACTATAGACTAGTCGATTGACTCGACTATGAACTAGTTGCTTGTATCTTCTATAGATTAGTCGAAACATCTCTATAGACTAGTCAATAGTCAATAATCTCGACTAAAAACTGGTCAATACTTTGGATTATAATCTAGTTGATGATTTCGACTATAAACTAGCCGATCGTTTCAACTATAGACTAGTCGATAGTCTTAACTATAAACTAGTCTAAAGTCTCTACTATAGGCAAGTCGATAGTCTCAACTATAGATTGGTTGAAAGTGAAAGACTATAGACTAGTCGATAGTCTCGACTATACCGTAGTCGATAGTCTGGACTATAGACTAGCCGATTGTCTCGACTTAGACTAGTCGATAGTCTCGACTATAGACTAGTT